GGTCTTTTTCCTTTTTATAGTATATGTATATGTGTGTGTGTGTGTGTGCGTGTGTGTGTGTGTGTGTGTGTGTGTGTAAACTTTACGGTCTCTAGAAATGTTTTAAATTGAGTATTCCATTTCATGCCATGTCTAGAAAATGTATTATTTTTAAATGTTGCATTGTTATGAAATATGTTTGTGTTAAATGATCCTACGGAGGAGCGTGTAAGCTTCAGGTGAGTATTATGTGATTGAATGGGTTGTATTGAATTGGTATGCACACATTTATTTAGAGCTCATCATGGTTGCACCCCGGTATTAGGGCTCCCGCCCGGAGCTAGGGCCAGCCTTCACGTGATTGTTCACCTCCCACACTACAGACTCACCTTGGATCCAAGTTTGGTACCAGCCTATCGTACAGGCCACAATAGGTGGTTTCAACTCATAGGTGACCCATGAATTATCACACAGCATTCACATGATTGTAGCACTTAAGCGTACATATTTATACACAGTCTATCGTACAGGTCACACTAGGTGACTCCGACTTGTATGCTAGCCTAGATTGATAAGCTATAGCCCCAGTCGTATAAGTCACGTTAGGTGACTCTGACTACCATACTATTTTATATTCGTTTCATACCTAGCTTACAATTATTATCGTTGCTCTTGTCCATTGGTTTTTATACCTACGTAGTAGTATTATTTTCTGGAAACTATATAGGTTTTACGGCGAAGGGTTATAGTGCATTCAAAAGGTTTTTATTAAAACTATATTTTTAGGCCCACTCACGCTTGTTTTTCGCCCCTCCAGGTTTTAGCTGCTGAACAGTTGTATCGACGAGGATTCATAGTGAATCTTAGTATTAGTGGCTACTTTTGAGGGTATAATCCTTATCCACTCTGCTGTACTTTACTTATGCTCTGAGGTCACTTGTGAAATGGGTTCATTCCCGCTCACCAGCACACTCTTATATTTAGGCACTTATAGGTTCAAATTTATTCACATTTTCCACATCACTACACTTTATGGCTTCGTCACCTTCTAGTGTCGGCCAACACAGCTTGATTCAAAGTCCTAGTTGACATTGCGGATCGGGGTGTGTCATTTTTGTGGTGTGTGAAGAGATAAGACATTGTGGTTCGTAAAAAAACATGATTAAAGGTCTTCTAATTTCATTTGTAGGGTCAAATGAAATTTCAAAGACATAATTGTATAAGGATAAAGCTAGGAAGGCCAAATTTTTCAAACCAAATTTGCAAGCTAATGATGTGGTTGTTGATGATTGGATTATTACTTAAATGTTAATTAACATACTTATTTTCTATTGATGACACATTATTTGGTCTGTTTTGGTTTAAAATTTTGGTCTCCCTATCATTACCCATTATACAAATTATTAAGGTTAGCTGTAGTCAATGCCCCTATATTAGCTCTACCATTGAACGACACTCTTTTTTAATCAACAGTCACATTTTTTTATTAACGGTGACATTTTTAAATTGAAAACTGAAAATGGCATCAAATGCATCAGTGATTATTTGGGCCCAGCTCACTCCAAGCCGCACTCCCACACACCAAACAAACAACAATTATAAATTACATCAACGTGTTTTTGCAAACTGTAAATTAATCATTATGTTATAAACATTGTATTAAAGTGTGATTGTGTAAATCCTAGATTAGATTTGATACTAGTTATTCTTCCCTATTAGGACTTGTATTCCTTGGAGGAGAAGGATTCATCCCTTCCTTACACAACCCTACAAACACATCTCTCTCTCTACTCTACTACCGCACCCCTCTCGTTCCCTTGTCAAATAAAATGAAGGTTGGTTTGGTATAGTTGGGCTTTGAAAAAAAGCTGCTTCTGCTGTGCTGTGAGAATAAGCAGCTGTGAAATAAAGCAGTAGAGTGTTTGGTAAACTTTTTTTGTAAAAGTGCTTTTGGAAAAAGAAAATTAAAGCAGTATGATAGTGTTTGGTAAACTTTTATGTAAAACAGCTATATGTGCCATTAATTTAATTTTCTTAACAAATAAAGATGAGTTACTAAATATACTTTATCTTTTGAACATTGCTCACTGCTTGAGTCTTAATATTGTTAATTAACTTGAGCATTGGATATTCTTTGGCCAATATCATGCTGATATATTGAGCTCGTAATAGACTACCAATACAATTTGCTATTTTCTTACATGTGGTGGATTACTCCAATAGTTAAGGCTTTCATGTTCAACTCACTGTATCCTGGACTCACTACATCACTACCAGTATAGTTCTCAGCCAAGTTTGAAACTCGCTCCTAGTTCAGATTTAGTGTAGATCACTGCTTGGATACAAACAAAACAGCCAACCTTTATTACCTCAAGCTTGCTAACACAACCAGACCCGGAATGTCCACTAGGACTCCGAATCGAGCTATGCTAGCCGACACCTAGAAGGTGACGAAGCCATAAGGTATAGTGATGTGGAAAATGTGAATAAATTTAAACCTAAAAGTGCCTAAAGACAAGAGTGCGTTGTGAGTGGGAATGAACCCATTTCACACGCAACGTCAGAGCATAAGTAAAATACAGTAGTGTGGGCAAGGATCATGCCCTTAGAGGTAGCCACCTATACTGAGATTCGCCAAAAATCCTAATCAATACGAAGTTTCAGCAACTAAAACTTGGAGGGGCAAAAAACAAGGGTGAGTGGGCTTGAGAAAAAAGTTTTAATAAAAACCTTTTGAAAACGTTATAACCGCGCGCTGTAAAACTTGTTTAGTTTCCAGAAAATAATAATACAAACGTATGTAGAAATCATGCTCAAGAGTAGTGAAAACCAAGTACATGCCATGTTAAGTATCTCAGCAATGAAATAAGTAAGCCAGGTGAAATAAATCAATGTAAACAGATATGTCAGCCAGAGTCACCTAACATGACCTGTACGGCTGAGCCTATAGCTCATCTACCAATTCCTGCACATGAGTCGGAACCACCTAATGTGATGTGTATGACAGGTTGGGTGTAAATAGATACGCTCAAATGCTAAAATCAAGTGAAGGCTATGCGAAGTATCGCAAGTCACCTACGAGTTAGAACCACCTAATGTGGTCTGTACGACAAGCTCGCACCTGCCTTGGATCCAAGGTGAGCGTGTGGTGCGAGAGGTGAATGATCACGTGAAGGTTAGGCCCTGGCCTCGATTGGAGCATTAACACTGGGCAGAATAATGTTAAGCCCTGGCCTCGGGCAGAGCACTAACACCGGGAAGGATAATGAGCACTAAATGCATCCAAACATGACCATACACACTGCAATTACTATCATCAATATGCACCCACCTGAAGCTTACCTAGGTGTCCGCAGCGTCATGCAATAATATGCATATCTATACTAATGCATATACTAAAAACATAAATCCATTTAAAACCATTTATGGGAAAATGGAAAACATATATACGTATATATAGGAAACCAAAAGCCCACTCACCTAGAGTCCACGCTACAACTCCCTAGCACGAATATCAAGGCGTCGCGAACAATCGGTGCCTAGAACAATTATCAAACCACATCTCAGAATCCTTATCAATAGAACATGTAACTTACATAAAACATATCCCCAAGGACGTTCTATAATGATCTAAGACCCATTCACCAAAAATCAAATGTTGGTCAAAGGTCGACGGTAAGGTCTATAACCCTATATAACTTAATCTGGAAGATCTGCACATTGAATTTATGATCCATAACTTCCAATGATCCACATTATGCTTCTAGAATAGCATACTAAAATTTTAACACGATCCGACCGTTGGATCTCCGCCACTCACAAATTCATGTGCCGGTCAATTAGCCAATCAACTATGAAACTACATTAAAACATTAGAATTTCACTAAATAGATGTCAAAAATGGATTCAGGACGTCGAATTATCCTAATTTAGATCCTGGGTCAAAACTCGAAAAGAATCAACAAAAGTCAACAGCCAATGCAAGGAATATTGCAAAGAATATTCCTCTTCTTGAACCTTTCTGGTCGCCAGATTCTGCAGAAATTTTCTGGCAATCTTTAGAATTCCATATCTCACTCGTTTCTCAACCAAATTTGACCCATAATGTACCAAAATGAAGTTAGAGAAGTGTAGAACAAGATTATACCTTCTTGGAGTCCAAATGGTGGCCGGAGGTGGCCAAAAAATGGTCTGAAAGATGGCTGTCCAAGGAAAAATTAGGTTCTCGCCGGAATTTCTGGGCAACCTTCAAACGTCCATAACTTTGTCAATACTCAACTAAATTGAGTGATTCAAAAATAGAAATCATAGCTTGGAATGAGACGAACAAATTGGTACCTTCCCTGGCGGCTAACGCAGTTTGGGAGGAAAATGGTCTGGAAGGTCATGGGTTCGCCGTAAACTAGGCAAACCTTAAATCGTTATAAGTTTCTCATTTTTCAACCAAATCACATGATCCAAAGATGAAAATTTATCTAATCGACTACAGGAATCGATTTATACCTGTTTTGAGTTCAAAAGATTGCTAAAAATCATCTGAAGCACGCCTAGAAGTCTTGACCCAAAACCTTGTTCTTCGAACTCGTGTTTTAGGTTCTTTTTCAATGAAACAAAAATCACAACGGAGTTTATGATGGTGAGGACATGCAGATAATGGTGGTTTTGATGTTCAACAAGCCAAAATTTTGGTGGCTGTGGTGGTTTGTTTCACGGGAAGAAAGGGAGAGCCGAGAGAGAGTGAGAGAACTATCGAGAGAAAGAGAGGATGGGAGAGAAAAAGGAGGAGAGAGAGTTTCAGAATTTTTGGGTGCCCACATGGTACTCACCCAATGGTTAGACAAAAATATCACATGCCCAATTAATTATCAATTTTATCAAAATATCCTCGACGTTCAAAACCTCATAAAATCTTCGTTATAACTTCGAATCACATTCTGTTTGTGTCCACGCGTTTGTAGTGACGAATACTACGAGGATACACCAAGAAAATAGATCTTACCTGACATGACAAGATGGTCAAACAAAGTCAACGCATTTGCCTCGAAGGGCATTTTCATAAATTCACTTATTAAAATTATAGAAACCGTAAAATTGGGAATGGGTGGTCATTACATTGCAGTTGGAGGATGAATCCAATTCAAAAATAACAAATAACATTTGGGATAAAGAATTAATTTTACTAGTTACATTTTTTATACACCAAAACTAGATTACCTATGTGGGTGAATCAATTCAACCAAAAATAATAGATTACAATGGATTACACTTGCCCATGCCTTGATTACATCTGAGAATGATCCAGCTTAACTACGTGTCCGTGATCTGTTGGTACACCGGCATTCATTTCCCTGAGCTGCTCAATTACGCCGAGCAGAAGATTCTTCCCACTCCACATCTTCTTCCCCCTAAGTAGCATTCTGCATATTAGATCCCATCTCATTCAATTAGAATTCAAGTCATTATTCCTTAAAAATCTGTTTTTAGATTCGCGTTTCTCAACAATTTGAGGGAGAAAAGAAAACATTTAAGATTAGAGCTAACCCTGTAACCTCTACGAAGAAATTGCAGTGAGCTTCCTTGTTCCTCTTGCAGTCCCAGGACCCTCAAAAGTTCTTCTTTTGTCTTAACAGTACACACAGAATCAGCCTTAAAGCATAACAAATTATGTCTAGCAACTAACAGAAAGTGACTGACGATTGGAGGTTTAGACAGAAATATACTTCACCCAGAGTAAAGGGTGTTGCACTCTCTGCTACGCAAGCATAAGAACCATCGGCTTGTTTGAGCATTACCTGCCAAGGCCCTGCACAAAATGAAAAAAATACCCATTGAGAAAAATCAGAGGATTTTCAGAAAAATAAAGTGCCAACAAAATCATGGTTAACAACACAAACAAGCTGACTGTACAGCAGAACCTTCGTGGATAAAGAAACGTTGGGGTTACAAGCGCATTGATAATGAAAAACATAAAATCAAAAGGAGACAAATACAAGTGATGGAAACATTTAATCAGCACACAAAAAATTAGCATTCAGAACCAAAATGTTAAGACTTTAAAGTAGCAGACACAAGAATGAAGATATTGATCATTAAGCAAATGAACAATGCATTGCATTTGCACACAAAGCAGAGCTATTATATAAGCATGCAATTACAATGCACGATCAAATGATATATAAACATTCAAAATAACAACAATCAATTGAATTGAAAGAACATCAACAATAACAAGAAATTGAATCCAATTCATTTTTAAATTAAACACAAACCAACACAATTAGGAATTGTATCTCGCCTAAAGATCATCGATCAAACAAAATAAAAGCAACCCATTAATCTTACCACCAAACCACGGCGATGGCAATCAGCAGCGTCCAGTAAGATTAAAACACAAAATTGAAAATTTAACAATCACACCAAAATCAATCGATTGCAGAACAAAAACAAGAAACCGAGAAAAACCCATAAATGATTCGATCCCAATTCTCCAAATTAACCAAAGAACCTCAGAATTGACAAACCGATTCAATACAAGAGCAATTACAACAAAAAAAAAAAAAAAAAAAAAAAAAAAAAAAAATTGAATTGAATTGAGCTGTGGGATTTGAAAACTTGGGATAGGTCGAATTGGGGATGAAATTTAAATTAGCAAAATCAAAATTAGCACACAGATCAAAATGGTATTCACAGGCAATAAAGAACAATGCACAGACAAGAGAAATTAAAAATATATAAGTATGAAAACGACTACCTCTTGCTTCGCTTTCTCTCTCTCTCTCTCTCTCTCTCTCTCTCTCTCTCTCTCTCTATATATATATATATATATATGTATCTCCTACCTCTTTTAGGGTTTGTTTCCTCCACAAACCCTAATTTTTTCCCCATTTTTTTCCCTAATTGTTTCCTTCATCCCCAGTTTTTTTTCCCGACACCCATACACATCATCCCTTCACTCTTCCCACCCCTCTTTCACTCACTCTCCTCATCCCCAATTTTAAAAATCCAAAGAAATAAATAACAAAATTTTAGACAAGAGAAACTTACCAAAGGAAGGATGGAAGGCAACGGCGATAGAATGAGGGAAGGTGATGGCGGTGTCTGTGGCGCTGAGACTGATGGAAAGAGACGAAAAGGAAGAGGAGGAAGAGGTGCAGTGGTAGGCAACAGAGGAAGAGAGCGTGTAAGAGAGAGTCTATGTTTTGCGAGAAGGTGTGTGAGAGAGAGTCTAAAAGTGTGAGGAAGGTAGGAGAAAGGAGAAAGGAGGGCAATGTTGGCAAATTGAAAAATTCATTAAAAAGATTATTGTAGCTCCGTGTTTCTCAAATAAGCTACTTTTTGAAGCTGCAAAATGCAGCTTCCTGTTTTTAGCTTTTTTTCATTTGAAACTTTGAAATAAAGCTAATTTGGGGTGTTTACCAAACACCAAAAACTCTCTCAGCATTTTTTCATACCAGCTTTTTTATAAATCACCTCAATACCAAACGATACCTAAGCCACAACACATTAATATTGTTGTGGCCTATATTTAACTGAGGGGTGCGGCATGGAGAGAAAGAGAGTGGAGAATAGACTTGAGGAATTGTGTGTTAATTCTCTAGTCTTTGTGCCTATATTTATAGTAATAAGGAGGAGAGAAACTTGCTCTCCAAGTAATAGAAAGTCTATTAGGAAAGACTTTCTAGGTCCCAAAGGATTCCTAATCTATCTTTACTTAGGATTTACACAATCACAATATGTATTAGAACATATGTCACAACACTCCTCCTTGAGTATGCAAATACTCAAGTAGATGGTGCATCAAATCATTTGGCAAATGTAGAAGCAGTTGATGAAGTTGTCTCGTCTAGTCGGCACAAGTAACGAACACAAGTCTCAAAACAAACTGACGAATGCATGGGTGGTAAAACTCACAAAACCTTGCTATGGCAAAACCTAAGGTGGGACAAAAGCCTATAGCTAAAGGAGAAAGGTGAGAAGTTGCATTAAGTAAAAAATATAGGTCTTTGGGACGCAGGTATAACGTACACAAGGGTATGACCAACCCATGATAGGTGCCTCATCAAAACCTAGTCAGGTAGCAAAAACCCAGTGGGAAAATGCTTTTAAGCATAGGGAAAAAGATTAATTTAAGGTCAAATGAGTATACTTATGGATACTCCATCTGAGTTTGACAAAACTTCCAAATGAAACTACAAGCATTGCAAATGAGAAAGTTACGTATACTAATTCCTTAGACAAGCTTCTGGAATGTAGACTTCAGTAGTGATGTGCAGAGGTCGGCAATGTTGTCTAGGATTCGGCTGCTTGACTTCAAACTTTGGATGCTCATGCTGATGTAGACACAATATACTTGGCATTGAGTTGTTGGATGTATCATGATCTGGTCGATACATACAACGTTGTCTTCATGGATCGTTATTGGGACTCAACGATGGATGAAAATCGCAGGGACTTCGAATATGCTCAACAAGAGTTCTTGACCATATCTCTCACGTGATGACATACAGTGAGTCTTGGAATAATTCAAAGGTTTTGCACAAAAAGGTCTATCTGGTTGACCTCCAAGATATTGTAGTGTTCCTTAATGGTAAAGACATAACCATTTGGGAATGTACCTTATGCGGTCAAATAGATAGTCTGATTCAGCGAATTGATAGGATTTTTACCACTTGATAAAGTAGGGATAAAACACTAAAAAATACTTGCAAGAGTACAATGTTTTCATAGTATAATAGCTCAAGCAAAGTCGTTTTCCATAGGGATTGTGTCACATCCCGGCCTGGGCCCCCACCATATCTTGGGCTCGACTCCACCGTAGCACGATATTGTCCGATTTGGACCCTACCACACCCTCACAGTTTTGTTTCTGGGAACTCACACGAAAACTTCCCAATGGGTCACCCATCTTGTGATTGCTCTCGCGTAAACTCGCTTAACTTCAGAGTTCCGATGGAACCTGAAGCCAGTGAGCTCCCAAAAGGCCTCGTGCTAGGTAGAGATGGGAATATACATATAAGGCTTACAGGATCCACTCCCCTGGGCGATGTGGGATGTTAAAGATTGAATGAATAATTTGTATTTAAACTAATTCTTAATTAATTATTTGAAACAAGGTTTGAAAAAGATTGATTTTGGAATTTTAAATAAAAACAATTAAAGAAATTAGCAAAGTAAAGAAAACAAAAGAAAACGTTTTTGAAAATTAAAGTTGTGAAAGCCTAGGATTCCGCCGTCACCTTAACAATCCTATGTAGTTTTACCAATTACTTATGAATTATACATGCAACTTTGAAGGTTAGATTTTCCTAGTGCATATTATCCTCGTGATATTCAAGCAAGAATGTATATCTAACATATCACATCCCCGCCCGGACCCCCACCACATCCCAAGCTAGACTCCACCGCAGCACGATATTGTCCGCTTTGGGCCTTGACCATGCCTTCACCGTTTGTTTCTGGGAACTCACACGTGAACTTCCCAGTGGGACACCCCATCCTAGGAATGCTCTCGCACGAACTCACTTAACTTCGGAGTTCCGATGGAACCCGAAGCCAGTGAGCTTCCAAAAGGCCTCGTGCTAAGTACATATGGGAATATACATATAAGGCTTACAGGATCCACTTCCCCAGGCGATGTGGGATGTTACATAACATGCAACCCATCTGTGATATTTAGATCAAATATAAACATGCAAGACTCATTAAGTTTTGTGAAAACTCTTTGAAAAACCATGAAAACCCCTATGAGCGTGATATTCGCCTTGAGTGAAATTACAATTATTAACCACAAGAAGCAATACTCAATCCTCCAATGATTTTTCAACCGAATTGCATCTGATTACTTATCTAAATATCGTAATGGTAGCTAAGCATTAAGACATAGAGACAGTTGAAGCACAATGATTAATAATTCAAAGTACACATGCATAACATCATAAGCAATTGAATATATATATTCATGCTAAGGCTCGTGGCCTCACCATAGCGAAACAAAAATTAGTTACAAACAACCAACAAAGAAAAGGAATTTTATTGAAAATAGAAAATTAGTTACGAACAACCCTAAACACCTTGAAAGAAAATACAAATTGTCAAACCCTAGCCAAGTTCTCCAATTTGATGCATTCCCCCTCCTAATGGCTAAATAGCCTTATTTATACTAATGCAAAATAAAACCCTACCTAGAAAAGGTCTTAGCATAAGACTAGGAAACATAATAAAATAATAAAACAACTAATAAAAGTTTACTATTTAAAATAAAATTCGGACTTCTCAAAAAATCATACTTTTGACCGAACAAATCAACTCTGATTTGGTCCCAAAATGTCTTTTTTGAAAGCTTAAGTCGTCCCCTACAAATCCTCAGAAGGAGTCTTCCTCAAAATATGCTATCTTGACCTCCAAAATGTTTAGAAACGCTAATCCGGAAAAGTTGTGCACTGGGTCTTCTTTTCTTCGCCACGGAGAAACGGCATAGTAGAAAAATCTGACACTTTGTTACAATCATATTGAAAGAATCTTGAATATCCTCCAATTGGACTTGATTCACAATTCATCTGTTTGATTACTTTATGCTCAATAGGAAGTCAAGTGTTGTACATTAGAAATATAATTCAAAGTATCAAAATCTCAACAAAATAATCAATAAATTAATATTAAGAATAGGAATAGGGTAAAATATATGGTACAATATCAACTCATCACAAATCTCACAAGGTAGGCATCATTCCGAAGATCAAGGGGTGTGATCTATTATGAGATGTATATGGATAGATAAGCCCAAATCGGTAGTAACGGAAAAATGTCTTTAACACCAAATTTAGTAGTGGCGTGTAGGTATAGTGCTGCTTTATGCCATAAGATTATCAGCACATAAGATGTCTGACCTAGTGCATTGAGCTAAGTACAACAAACGCCAATTGTACTTAGATATGGTTGCCTCACATTCCAATATGGAACCTTATGCTCCATATTCTTCGTAAATGTCTCATTTGGATCTAGCATACAGATGATCAGGTTATACTTGGACATAAAGCCTTCTGGGTCTAGTTCGACTGGTGGACCAGAATACCATTAGAACTAGCTTGAAACCTCAAGTCAAGGTAATGTCGAATTTTCCCAAGATCATTCATCTTAAAGTCTGATTTCAAGTGTGAGTCAATTTTCTCAACTCTAGGAATTTTGGATTTTGTACATGCAGGGGCATATATGCCTAACTGATCAAATATTCACTTAGACGGGTATACCACATCAACCTTGATAAACCTACATCAGCAAAGTGAAGGCCTCATCAGAACCGAGATGGTGTTCTTGTGGTCTAGAACTATTGGAATCAGTACATGTAAGTCCTTTGGAAACTCCATGCAGGTTTTGTTTCAAGATCCCAGAGATACTATAACCACGTTTGTAATGTGGCAATCAATCACATGGTGTATGAGAGAAGCCTTGCACCACAAGTCGTCATATCACACTATGTTATTCATCTCATTCATCATGGATTGATTCTTCTAGTTGACCAATCAGTTTTACATTGACACTAATCAATGGAATGCGGTTCTTTATCGTCGCTTTTCATTTATGTCGATAGTAACCATATAAATGAAACATCATCTATGATAATCTCATTCCAATTCCATATCTCATCCAAACTAGTATACTAGACCAAGAACTTTAGATCTGGGGAGTAACCCAGAATTAATTTCATGAGATAGAAAGGATTTAGACATCGATCAAAGGGCGGATTCGTTCGTGCCATGTTCCTCCACTTTCGGAGAGGTGAATCTTTCGAACCGAGTGATCTGCCATGCTTCTAGTTCATGACATATTGATTGGCTAGCCACCAATGTACAAGGGTCGACCATAGTAGTGGCATTTCTGCTTTCGGGGACGAAGGTCCATCATGCATTTGGTACATTCATCTTTGTAGGCATATTTGCAACTGGTATATGTGATCTCATCACGTTTGCTAGATCAGAGGAAGCGTCTAGTTATACTCTGATGATCTAAATTGGGATCGAGATGAGACATAGTGAGGACATCCACGATAGTTAGTGTCGTTTTTTAGGAACATTGACGTTCGTTAAAGGTTCTAAGTAACAAATATTAGAAAGAAGAATCATAACCAACATAGAGTTTTGCCTCTCTGAGGACCTATTTTTGTATGTAAAGGTGATGCAAATGGCACATAGACCGCACAACCAAAGACGCGCAGATGTGATATGTCGGTTCGTATCTAG